GGGAGGGAGGAGGAGGAGAGGGGGGGGGAGGAGGGGGGGGGGGGGGGGGGGGAGGAGAGAGAGGGGAAAGGAGAGGAGGGGGAGAGGAGGAGGGGAGGAGGGGAAGAAGGGGGGGGAGAGGAAGGGAGAAGGAAGAGGGGGAGGGAGGAGGGGGGGGAGGGAAGGGGAAGGAGGAAGGGGGGGGAGGAGAGAAGAGAGAGGGGGGGGGAAGGGAGGGGAAGAGGGAGAGGGGGGGAGGGGGGAAGGGGGAGAGAGGGGAAGGAAGAGAAGAGGGGGGAGGGGGGAGGGGGAGGGGGGGAGGGAGAGGGGGGGGAGGAGAAGGGGGAGGGGGAGGAGGGGGGGGGGGAGGGGGGGGGAGGGGGGGAGGGGGGGGAGGGGGGAAGGAAGAGAGAGAGGGGAGGGGGGGGGAAGGGAGGAGGGGAGAGAGAAGAGGGGGGGGGGGAAAGGGGGAGAGAGAGGGGAGAGGAGGGGGAGGGGATGGTGAGGAGGAAAGGGAGGAGAGGGGGGGGGGGGGGAAGAAGAGAAGGGGGGAGGAAGAAAGGAGGAGGGGGAAGGGGGGAGGGAGAGGGGGGGGGAAGGGAGGGGAAGGGGGAAGGAAAGGGGAGAGGGGGGGAGGAGGAGGGAGAAGAGGAGAGAGAGAGAGGGAGGAGGAGGGGAAGGAGAGGAGGGGGAGAGGGGGGGGAAAGAGGGGGGGAGGAAGGAGGAGGGGAAGGAGGGAGGGTGAGAAGGGGAGAGAAGTGAGGGGGAGGAGAGGAGGAGAGGGAGGAGAGAGGGGGGGGGGGAGAAGAGGAGGGAGGAGGAGGGGGGGGAGGGGAAGGGGGGAGGGGGGGAGGGGGGGAGAGAGAGGGAAGGAGAGAGGGGGAAGAGAGAGAGAGAGGGGGAGGGAAGGAAGGAGGGAAGGAAGGGAGGAGAGGGGGGGGGGAGGAGGGAGGGAGAAGGGGGGGAGGGGGGAGAAAGAGGGAAGGGGGGAGGAGAGGGAAAGGGAGAGGTGGGGTGAGGAGGAACGAGGAGGGGGAGGGGGGGAGGGGAAAGGAGGGGAAGAGAGAGAGGAGAAGGGGAGGGGGAGGGAGAGAGAGAGAGGGAGAGGGAGGGGAAGAGTAGGAGGAGAGGGGGGGGGGAGAGGGGGAGGGGAGAGGAGAGAGGGGGGAGGGAAGGGAGGAGGAGGAGGGGAAGTGAGGAAGAGGAGAAGGAGGGAGAAGGGAGGGAGAGGAGGGGGGAGAGAGAGGAGAAGGAAGAAGGAGAGAGGAAGGGAGTAGGAGGGAAGGGGGAAGGGGGGGGGGAGGAAGGGAGGGGAAGAGAAGGAAGGGGGAGGAGAAGGAGGGAGAAGAGGAGGGGGGGAGGGGGAGGAAAAGGAGGGAGGGGGGGGGGGGGGAGGAGAAGAAGGAAGGGGAGGGGGAGAGGGGGGAGAGAGGAGGGGGGGGGAAGAGAGAAGAGGGGGAGGAGAGAGAGAGGAGAGAAGGAGGGGAAGAGGAGGAAAAGAGGAAAGAGATTGAGAGAAGGGGGGGGAGGAGGAGGAAGAGAGAGAGGAAGAAAGGGGGGAAAGGAGGGGGGAGGGAGAAGAGGAAGAGGAAGGAAGGAAAAGAGAGGGGAAGAAGAAGAAGAGGAGGGGGAGAGGGGAGGAGGAAGAGAGAGGAAGGGGAGAGGAGGGAGAGAGGAGAAGAAGGGGAAGATGAGGAGGAAGAGGAGAGGGGAGAGGAGGAAAAGGGGGAAGAAAGAGGGGAAGAGGGGGAGAGGAGGGGAGGGGGGAAGGAGGGGAGAGGGGAGGGGGAGGGGAGAGGAGGAGAGGGGGAAGGGAGAGAGAGGGGGGGAGAGAGAGAAAGGGAGGGGAGAGAGAGAGGGGAAGAGGAGAGGGAGGGGGGAGGGGGGGAGGGGGAGGGAGGAGGGGGAAGGGGAGAGGGGGGGGAGAGAGAGGGAAAGGGGGGAGAGGGGGAAGGAGAGGGAGAGAAGAGGAGGATGAGGGGAGGAGAGAGGGGGAAGGAGGGAAGAGAGAATGGGGAGAGGGGGGGGAGGGGGAAGAGAGGAGAGAGGAGGGGGGGGGGGAGAGGGGAGGGGGGAAGAAGAGGGGGGGAGAGGGGGAGAGAGAGAGAGGGGGAGAGGGGGAAGGGGGGGAAGGAAGAGAGGAGGAAGGGAGGAAGAGAGGGAGAGGGGGGAGAGAGAGGAGAAGGGAGGAAGAAGGGGGGGAGGGGAGGGAGGAGGGGGGGGGGAGAGAGAGAGGGGGGAGGAGGAAGAAGAGAGGGGAAGGAGAAGGAGAGGGGGAAGAGGGGAAAGAGGAGAGAGGGGGGGGAGAGAAGGGGAAGGAGGGAGGAGAGGAGGAAGAAGAGAGGGGAAGGAGGGGGGGGAGATGGGGGGGGGAGGGAGAAGAGGGGGGGAGGAGAGGGGGGAAGAGAAGGGGAAGGGGGGAGGAGAGGGGGAAGAAGGGGGGGGAGGAGGGGGAAAAGAGGGAAGAAGGAAAAGGAGGAAAAGAAGAGAGAGAGGGAGGGGAGAGGAAGAGAGAGAGAGGAAGAAGAGGAGGAACGAGAGGAGAGGGAGGGGAAAGAGGAGGAAGAGGAGAGGGGGGGAGGGGAGGGGGAAGGGGGAAGAGGAGAGGGGGGGGGGGAGGAGGAGGGGGACGAGAGAGAGAGAGGGAGGGAGAGAGGGGGAGAGGGGGGGGGGAGGGGGGGAGGGGGGAGGGGGGGATGAAGGGGGGAGGAACGAGAGGGGGGGGGGGGGGGGGGGGGGGAACTAGAGAGAGGGGAGGAGGAGGAAAGGAGAAGGCAGAGAGAGATAAGAGGGAGAGACAGAGGGTTGAGAGTGGGAAAGGAAGTGAATGAGAGAGGAGAACGGAGAGAAAGCTAGCAAGAGAGGAGGAGGGGAAGGACAGATCCACTCTAGAGGGTTGTGGAGGAGAAGAGGAGGGGGGGCAGACAACTAAAAAGAACTTGGACGGCTGCCTAATGCTAACCCTGTTTTTTTCAAAGCTCATTAAACCCTTCATCCTCATCACTCAACTATTCAGATGCTGAGCCTGTTTCCATGGAAATCAATGAACTCCCAGCTCTAACCCATCATTCCTGAGGACTAAGGATCAGTGAATGGAGGAAAACAAACGGAAACAAACAGGAATAATACTGCCTGGAAATGTTCCCAGTTCTGTAACAAGCAATGTGTCATTTACCATAATATCTTAAGGGAAAATTCCAGTGTACCGGAAAAGACAAATACTGCTTTAAAATTAAAACCGGTGAAATCCACGGTCAAAAAGCAAATGTCATTTGATTTTAAATCTCTTTGCAGTGGCCCAATCTGACTGAACAGGATACAATTGCATACCAATACCAGCCTGGCCTACAAGCACTGAGCCTAGTTCAGTACAGACAGGAATGCCAATGTCCTGATAGCATTTTACATTGACAGTTTACATGGCTCTACTTGCCAATTACTCCGTTCAATGGTAGGCAAATGAAAGTGATCTCAACCCCTTTGGAGATTACTATACACATTTATTATAACACAAATGGGGGGATTTGCTGAAATTGGAGAGTGCAAAATCGGTTGCAGCTCTGCATAGATGCCAATCAGCTTCCAGGTTTTATTAAATGAACAAGCTGAAGTTAGAAGCTGATTGGCTACCATAAACAGTTGTACCGGATTTTGCACTCTCCAGTTTTAGTGAATCCCAAAGAGTGATAATGCCCTTCATCAGTTTTAGATATCCCTCTTGGTACACAATAGATATAGCTGAGATGGACCCCATAACATTGCCCACAGAACCCAGTGCAATATTTATGTGTTTAGGAACTCTGTATGAATCCTTCGATTTCCTGAGGAACTTAAGATCCACATAAGACCAGTACCCCACCAGGCATGGATGTACATAATAGCCTTTTGCCCCCTCAATCCCACCCTTACCTCAGTTACCAGCTTGCTGCTAGATGGCACATGGACTGAAATCAAGCCCCCCCCCTGTAGAATTATCTATTAATTTCTGGGGCTCATCAGGAGCACTAAACTAATATCACAACCCTTCTGAGGTTTGGTGGTGTACCTCAAATTCCTAATGCATTTAGGATGTCACTGGGTTTATTTCAGTACAGTACATATTTCTGGGCCTTATTATAGGTGTAGTCTGTACATAGAAAGGCTTACACTCACAGGCAGTGGCGTCCCTAGGGGGGTGTGGGCCACACCAGGTGACATCATCACAGGGGAGGCAGGAGCAGGATGCCAGCAGAGCTTCTGGGCTCTGTGAAGGTCCTGGCCAGTTATTGGGGTGATCCCGGATTCCCGGCACAGTGACAGCTGCCCCTGGTGTAGTGGTAAAATTAGTATCCTGGACCTGTGAAGATATGTATCCCCTAAAGCAACTACGCATGTGCCAGTTTCAGGCTGAAGAAGCCGATCGCCAATCTTCGACTTTAGCACAGAGCTGCCACAGTTAACCCCTTAAAGGCTGCAAACCGCTGAAGCTGATCACTATGGGTTGCAAACTCAGTTAACCCCATATAGGTTGAACCTATACGGGGTTAACTGATCTTGCAACCCATAGTGATCCACCGGATCAGCGTCAGCAGTTTGCAGCCTGTAAGGGGTTAAACTGTGGCAACCCTATGCTAAAGTCGGCTTCTTCGGCCTGAAACCAGCACATGCGCAGTTTCTTCAGGGGGTACATATCTTCACGGGTCCGGGATGCTCATTTTACCGCTACACCCGCACCGCTCCTTCCTCTCTGGAGGGGTGACAGCACGTGTTACCGCACCGGGTGACACCAACCCTAGGGACGCCTCTGCTCACAGGGGTTAATTTACTAAAGCTGAAGAGTGCAAAATCTGGTGCAGCTCTGCATAGAAACCAATCAGCTTCCAGGTTTTTCTGTCAAAGCTTAATTGACCAAACTGGACTTAGAAGCCGATTGGCTACCATTAGGGTTGCCACCTCATCCCTTTAAAACCAAACACATATTAATGACACAGGTTCTGTCAATGCAGAGAGAGCATCAACTCAGACTACTAGGACACATTTACCTCTTAAAGTGACTGGCCAGGACTCCAAACAAGTTCCCCCACATGACTCTCCTGGGCTGACTGTCCAGCAAACATCATACATACGATAAGGTCTTTCCGGTCCTTGGTATGAAAAATGACCAGCTGGTCCTTCCCATTAGTCACACTGATGCCGGACACCTTGTGGTTGAAAGATAATACAGTCATTTAATACAGTCCCTTCTACCTCCTCACCACATACAGACAACAGTTGTTGCATTGGTCTCTTTGGACCAAACCTAAATATCACTGGCATGGTATAGGTTTTCCATCTTCTATATATAGTATATATTCTATGTGGAGAAAACGACAGTCACATGACCAGGCGGCATTAGATGAATGGAACCTGACGCACACATATCATTGAATACTCTGACTGCTATTGTAAAGCTCTGCTTTATTAAATAACCTGCAAATGAAAAAGTATGAACAAAGCCCATTATGCATCATTACTTCTTGTGAGTCGATAGTTATAAATGCTGGGGAGAGAATGGACAATTATCTTTATTAACAATGGATTATCATCATCAAATCTTCGAACCTTGGCTTGGTAATGTACTATACAAAAATAGCAGTCTATAACGTTTTCTGGCTTGTTAAACACGGTAAAGTACAGTGTTCCACAGCAAACCGTAACATTATCATTTACTGGAGACAGAACAGTATATTATGAATTCTGACTGTCTGCAATGAGCACATTAGTGTTGCAATTTGCAGCTACCTTATGGCTTTGATCAGGTATTTCAGACAGTCCCATTCTCATACAGTGTACACCAATGTGAGGGCCATGTGTACCCATACAGGGGTGCGCTGGTGGTCTGCGCATCCCCATTCATGTTCATTGGGATCCAGCAGCTGCACAGACACAGCCGCTGCTCCCAATTTGACATCCATGCGGGTGCACGGCTCCGACCATAGACCGTAAGCCTTCAGGGCTGTGCACACGCATGGATGTCAAATTGTGGACAGTGGATGTGACTCTGCAGCCCCTGCATCCCAATGGACATGTATGGTAGTATCTGCACAGGGATGCACAGACCACCAGTGCGCCCCTGTTGGGTACACATGGCCCTCATATGGGTGTATGCTGTACTACGCCTCTGAACGAGGTAAAAGTGTACCTCTCCTCCAAGATATGGAGGAAGCCATGTAGGTTGATGAGCTACATTCATTATGAACTGGTTACCTATCAGTTTGCCGGTCCCATGCTAAGTTTATAGAGACTTAGGCTGGTCATACATTATACAAATTTTCTAGAGATTTTTGCTTTAGATTTACCAAAAACCATATAATATGCGGTCAAACCTAAACAACACTTTCAATTGTATCTAATTAGGCAGGCACTTGCACTACATAGTGGAAAGTAAATCTAAAAGGAAATTGGGCAGAAATTGGTCAGAAAACTGAGAAAATTGTATAGTGGATGGCCAGCCTAAGGCTGTCCATAGGGGACACATTTTTAAAAAAAAAAAAAAAAAAGAAAAGACAAATAGATAGATCCCCCATTCACACAAGTGAGATGGATGGAGGAATCCTCCTCACTGTGCTATTGTATTCTGACAGCAGGACTCCTCCGCTGTCAGAAAACATGGATCAGTGGCTGCAGCCGCTGATCAAAAAAGATTTTCCAACAAGCCCATTAGACCAAAGTCAAGATTTCTCTCTGTCAAGTGGGAGCAGCCACACATGGTTCGAAATTCGATGGTCCCTGACAAACAAACCAAATTTTGATCTGTTCATGGCCAGCTTAAAGAATGTATTGATGAGTGCTAGGGGGCAGGATTATTCTGGACATTAATTTGCATTAAGCACCACTGAAACAATAGGTGATGCTGAATAAGGCACGTGTCATTTTTTTTGGTTGGGAGGTATGGACAGTGTGCACTGGGGTAGAACATTGGGAGGTATGGACAAGTGTGCACTGGGGTAGAACATTGGGAGGTATGGACAAGTGTGCACTGGGGTAGAACATTGGGAGGTATGGACAAGTGTGCACTGGGGTAGAACATTGGGAGGTACAAGTGTGCACTGGGGTAGAACATTGGGAGGTATGGACAGTGAGCAGTGGGAATGGAGACTGGGAGATGTGGGTAGTGTGCAATGGGGATGGAAATTGGGAGGTATAGACAGTGTACAGTGGGGTTGGAGACTGGGAGATGTGCGCAGTGTGAAGTAGGCTTGGTGATCAGGCGTTATGAGCAGCATGCACTGCGGTTGGTGTTGTGGGCAGTGTGCAGTGGGGTTAGTGACTGGAAAGGGTGGGCAGTTTGTAGTGGGATTAGTGAATGGAAAGGGTAAGCAGTGTGCCTACCCTTTCCAATCCCACTACACACTGCTTACCCTTTCCAATCACTAATCCAACTACAAACTGCCCACCCTTTCCAGTCACTAACCCCACTGCACACTGCCTACCCTTTCCAATCCCACTAGAGTGTGCAGTGGAGTTAGTGCCTGGAAAGGATGGGCAGTTTGTAGTGGGATTAGTGATTGGAAAGGGTAAGCAGTGTGTAGTGGGATTAGTGCCTGGAAAGAGTGGGGAGTTTGTAGGGGAATTAGTGATTGGAAAGAGTGGGAAGTTTGTAGTGGGATTAGTGATTGGAAAGAGTGGGAAGTTTGTAGTGAAACTAGTGATTGGAAAGGGTGGGCAGTTTGTAGTGGAACTAGTGATGAAAGGGTGGGCAGTTTGGAAAGTGATTGGAAAGGGTGGGCAGTTTGTAGTGGAACTAGTGATTGGAAAGGGTGGGCAGTTTGTAGTGGGAACTAGTGATTGGAAAGGGTGGGCAGTTTGTAGTGGAATTAGTGATTGGAAAGGGTGGGCAGTTTGTAGTGGAATTAGTGATTGGAAAGGGTGGGCAGTTTGTAGATGGAAGTTAGTGGGATTAGTGATTGGAAAGGGTGGGCAGTTTGTAGTGGAATTAGTGATTGGAAAGGGTGGGCAGTTTGTAGTGGGAAAGGGTGGGCAGTTTGTAGCATTAGTGATTGGAAAGGGTTGGCAGTTTGTAGAGGAACTAGTGATTGGAAAGGGTGGGCAGTTTCTAGTGGGATTCGTGCTTGGAAAGAGTGGGCAGTTTGAAGTGGGATTATGATTGGGAGACGTGAGCAGTCTGCAGTGGGATTAGTGATTGGAAAGGGTGGAGTTGGAAATTGGGTATTGTGGGCAGTGTGCAATAGGGTTAAGCTGGCCATATACCTGCAGGTTAAAACTAAAACACTATACAGTGCAGATGGATGAATCTCCCGCTTTGCCGACTGAATTTTGACAGCTAGACCCACTTTTTGGCTAGGTGTATGTATGGGTAGCAGATGAAGATTCAGCGTTTAGGCAGGTGCAAGCTGAGCACCTTTCTCGCTGTACCCAGCTAGTTGCTCAGCTTTCGGTCACATTCCTCACATATCATACTATAGAATTTTAGTGATGGGGTTTAGATCTACTTTTAGCTGTAACAGTCCTTTACACTGCACTTCTCACATACTGTAGCACTGGGGAGACGTCACTATACACGGGAATGCACCCTTCGACATCACAGCTTTCTTTATTTCCAGCATGTATAAAGTGGACTCCTTCAACTGAATATCTGCCCACACAATCTCCAGGCGCTTGGATTGACATAAATATGCTATTGTGAAAGCCTGAATGTTTCAGAAATAGAATTTCCCAGATTGTGGCCAGTAATGTGCAATTTCCTTATAAGAACAATAAAAAGGTATACAGTGGAACACACAGACAAAATGGAGGTATAAAGGAAAACAATGATGCAAAGAACAGCAGAGGCAAGCAACAACATAATCTCAGCAAGCTGAGTAGCAGAGCTGAATGGAGCTTGCGCTGGACCAGACATCGGCTGATCCAGTCTCCATGGAGATTTCCATGGCAACCCCATCCCCCGATGGTTGTCACGGTGATCGGATGCTTTTGGATGCAGAGATGCCAGTAGCTGCTGGCTGCAAGATCAAATGTGACTGAGTGCAACCCTCTATCCTGCTTTCTATCTATTGTTTTATACGGGTCACCTCATTCGATCTTGTTCTCCCCCACACTTCTATTCATGACAATTATCTTCCAGTAAATGCCGACAAATCCATTCCCAATGGACTATTCTACACAATTCAAAAACAACTTCTGGCATCAAATTTATCTACAGAAGGGACACAGAGGACTATCGCATGCTAGAGGACAAAATACCATGAATATTGCAAGTATCATAAAGAAAGCAAATAGCCATGCCTCTGTTTTGTTTTTATTTATGCACTGAAGAAATAATGCTCCTTAAGATTTGGGTCTGTTGCAGGAAACAGAACCGATGTCTGTGAGTTCAGGACAACTAGTCCTTCTACTCCATGTAGCTCCATCCAGCACAGATCCCTTCCCCTTCCACAACATGCTTTAAACAGAAACGGTCTGACTGTCACCGCACCTGTCAATGCAGACATCCGTTCTCCCGTCACCGCACCTGTCAATGCAGACATCCGTTCTCCCGTCACCGCACCTGTCAATGCAGACATCCGTTCTCCCGTCACCGCACCTGTCAATGCAGACATCCGTTCTCCCGTCACCGCACCCGTCAATGCAGACATCCGTTCTCCCGTCACCGCACCCGTCAATGCAGACATCCGTTCTCCCGTTACCGCACCTGTCAATGCAGACATCCATCTCCCAAGAAACTCAGGTACCTCTGCGGAGTCTACCTACCTCTAGTCACATGTGCCTAAAGCCCTGAAGAAGGGGAAGCCAATTCTCCCGAAACGTGTTAGCTCAACTTGTATATCAATCATCTTCAATAAAACTTTTCCATCGAATGTGATATTACTCTGGACATTGGGCGCTCTTCTCCGCCATCTGAATACCTCTGTTACTGAATTGAACTGACACTGCAGTCATAGTACCAGTAAGATAGCAACCCACATCTCCAAAGGGAGGCAAAACACCACCATTTATCCGCAGAAATCGAAAAAGAAAAAAAAAAAAAAGTATAAAAAAAACAAAAAACTTTCCCATGCAGTCCCTGTGTCAGGAACCATCGCGACGCATGGGTCTACACATGCGTAGGTGTCTGCCGAGACGTAGAGGTGGCAGGGCACTAGGACCCAGGCGTACCTGTCGTCTGGACAGTACTAGACAGGCACTAAGACCCAGGCTACGC